CGCGGCTACTCAGCTTTGAATACATTAGAGTTTCTTTCATCACAGTAGCCAAGGCTATAGGAGAAACTTGTTTCGTAAATGAGGTATAACTCAAGTTCCTTGCAGTAACTGCATTGTCCTACAAAGACAATAATAGGGCAAACATTTAAAAATAAAATTGTTTCAATTTGCATGGCTTGCTTGAAAATATGTATAATAAAAAAATAAAAAAATTCAGGTGTCAACAAAATTTATATTTTAATGTACAAACGTGGTCATGAGGAACCGAATATTTCCATTTTCTCTGCGTTACATCAGAAAATCCCATATAAATATTGCCGAAGTGTCCCTTAACAACCAGGCTGGTTTATGATATATAAGGGGAAATATGGCAAAATTCGTATTAGGAAACACTTCAGTGTCCTCAGCCACGAAGATGCATCAACCGTAATGGCCACTTTTACGAGAATATTTTATCGTATTGTTTACATTACTTTCATTATATTGATATTCTGTCTGTTGGCTAGTTACGCAACGTATAGCAGACTTTTGTATTCATGTGTAGTTGGAGAAAAGTCGATGTGGGGACACTTGGAGTAGCTCTTAAAATCGAGTTCTTGAGAGCTCATGTGTGTGAAGCGAGGTGAGTATAGAGCAGCGCCGGAATGCAAGGGCGGGGGAAAACAGGAGATCCCGAAATATAACCCGCTGACATGCGGCACGATTCCCACATGCGAATATTCGAGGAGCTACCCCGCCTGTAATCGAACCCGGTTCGCTTGGATGAGAGACGAGTAGTCTGGCCACTACACTGCCGCGGCCCTCGAGTATATTTGTTCCTTGTTATCCGGACGCTATTGAAAGCATTGCGTAATTTCCTTTATAAGTCATGTATCATCCCGCCTCTTTTACTTGTCATTATGAAGGCATAGGTCTTGTTACCTGATTCTTGATCTAAAAACTGCATGTTTTGTTCTAATTGTTTTTTACATAATTAAATTTTCTGGCATTTTATTAACAATTATTGAAAATGGGATATTACATTCTTCTTTTCATTTCAAATTAAAACCATTAATTATTTTAATTATTAATTTTTGTATATGGAATGTAAAATATTCTTTCCTTTTCTCATGTCAACCATTAAACACTTTATTATTATTTTTGAAAATTGCAAGATATTAAATTTTTATTTCGTGTGAAAATATAATTTATTGAAATTAAATTCGTTTCTCAATTTACGAAGTATAATGCCGCTTGTATGACCTTGCACATGTTTGGCCTGTGCATATACTTTGTCTATGACATTACGCCAAGTAGCTAAGTATGGAATAATCTTATACATTTTTAAAGCTTTCTTAACGAGTACAGGGGAGTCGTTGTTGTGTATTAATTTGACTGACTACTCGCCTTCCAATTAGGGAAACCGGTTTCGACTCCCGGCGGGTTTGTTTCCGGATTTTGGTATGTGGTAATTGTGCCCGACGGTACCACTAGTTGGCGGGTTTTCTCGGGGATCTCCCGTTTTGGTCGCTTCTACTCACCTCAATTCACCCGGATCGGCTCTCAAGACCTCGATGTTTTGAGCAGCTAAAATCTCTCCACTTAAACATCACGGCGTAAAGTAGGCTACTGCTACGCGATATATATTTCTGGTAATTAAACCTTCAAGTCATCGGAAGCATAGTGGTCAGTATCCCGCCTGTTACGTGGAAGACCCGGGTTCGATTCCTCGCCGGGAACTCGTGTCATATTTAATGTTTCCTAATGTTATTTATTTGTTTATCTTATGTATTTTCGTGCATAGAATATATATATTTTACTTCACCACACTTTTTATATTTTTTAGTGTTATTTCTTTTATTATACACTCACTCGTTATGGTGCTACAATTTTTAACTTTCGCATAAGACTACATTTCATAGTTTAAAATTCAAATGGAATATTACATATTTGATAACGAAAATTTGCCCAACGTATATGTAATAAATCGCAAATAGGTCTGTACTGCTGTTAGGAGAATTATTTTTTCCATATTACTACATATTTAATTGTAAATTTGGCTCCAGTTTCTTTATTGACTTCATATTTACAACAATCTGGAATTAATTTTACAGTACAATTAAATTATAAAATGTAAGTAATTTATTAACTCTATTAGTCTCCGGCATGAAAATATTCCAAATATTATTTGTATGGTTACCTGATTTATAGCCGCTGAACACGTATTTACATGCAAAAACCAACGGGAGGTCTTAGGTCATGTTTGGTTTACTTTTCGGGAGAATATTTTTATTGTTCCAGTATGGAATAAAACTATACGAATTATTTGACTTAATGATATTGTTGACTTATATTTCGTTCAATGATTGTTACAGATGAAATATTTTGTATTGTTACCGTATTGTTAAATTTAGTACACAACGTCAACGTTTACAAGGGAAGATCGTTACATCTCTGGAACTTGGACAGCTTCACGTTATTCTCTGGGGAATATCATGAATTAATAAATCTATATATTTTTAATACCTTGATAAACTTGTCTTAAGAAGACGTATTCCACACTTTCATAATAATTTATTTTCATTTATTCTGTATTATTTTAACATGCTCATTTATTGATTAGTTTAAAGAACATTAGTTTTGCTTCTGAGACGAATGCAGTTTCCATTTGACAAATAATTCATCATGCATTCAGCTTAAGTAACCACGGAAATGTATTATTTGTGCACGAATTATCCTATATAATAAGCACACGAGCTCTGTCTATCTGTCTGTCCGTCTTTAATATCTCCAAGTCCCTTGAAACTCGACAGAAGTACTTCAAAGTTTGCAGAGCGAATCCTCAGGGTAAATTAAAGTTCAAGTTAGAATTTCAGTAAGATCAGATTACGTAACCAATAACTTTTACCCTAAAAACTCTTTTATTCCCTATGAAAAGTTTTGTAGTAATGCATAGATAATATTGCATAGAGATATGAAGGTAACAGAAATTCATTATTGTTTACTTTAAATGTCTCGCTTCAATGTTGACTTAATTAAGTGGGGCGACAATAGCTCAGTAGATAGAGCGATTCCAAGTGGGGCCTTAGGTGTCAGTGGATAGAACTATGTTAAGTGGGGCCGCAGTGGCTAAGTGGACAGAGAAAAATTAAATGCGACCGGAGTCACTTCAATGTTGAATTAAGTTCACAACATTTCATTATTACTTAAATATTTGTATGCAAATTTTTTTCCCAGTTATTGTATGATAACCAAATTTTAAACTTTGTAACTCTTCTACCCCGTAACAATACAAAACAAAGAGGTCATGGGCTGGGTCGCAAAGTATATCTATAGTTACCTTCTCACGTATGTTACGTGGCTACCATTAGAACGAACTAAGGGGTCTTTCATTTAAATTTTTTCCATGTCAGGCAAATTTCAATCTAATATTATGAGACTTTTAATCATTACATAAAACTGGTCAAATAATTTGTTGAATCGCTTATCATCAGCATTATAGAAAGTTTTAATAAATTTATTACTTAACAATTGGGTTGAATCGATAGAAATGTCGCATTACATAGGTTTCTTTCTGATAAAATTGTTATCGAAAAGAGTTAGAAATTATATTCTTACAAGATCAACAAGTGACTGATTTGTAACAAGTTGTCAACTGCCACTTCTTTCACTTGAAGAAGCACTTTAACAGTAACAATTGTTTGATCTAATTAATCTGTAGAATAAAATATTCTCATATTTAAGAAAAAAATACGAAAATAATATTATATCAGTTGGTATTTTAATCAAGTTGCTTTTGACATCATGTAATTTAACTATTATATTTCCTTAAAATTATTTTAAAAATTGCCACTTATACATTTACAATGGAATCGGTTCCTTTTTACTTTGTATGGGTAGTTACAAGTCTTTGATAACTATGGGATCATTTATGCTTTCAACAATTACTCAGGATGCCATGAGAGGAACACGGAGATAAGTTATTCATACGTAAACAAAGTCAGTTGTTTACATGTGATAAAATGCCGTCCAGTTGACTTATCTAATATGGAGCCAACTTCCAACAAATATACTGGAATAAAATACTCCACGTGGTAAGAAACCAACATCCAAAGAAATGAGAAATAGACCCAAATAAGTTTTAATATATTATTAAGAAATAACGGGAATTACTACTGCTTTAGCTATGTGTATACAAAATATGAAGAAATATTGCTGCATAGAACTTTTTTAATTTACCTTTTGTGTCAAGGAATTCTCATTAATATTTACGTAAAAAAAATAAGTTTTTGTTATACTACGGAATGGAATGTTATACGAAAGTATCAACATTTAATTATAGTCTAATACATAATACTGAAAAATATGGAACCAAATTTTAACTCAAGTTCCTATATGAATCTGTGAGAAATTTATATTTTCCTAACCAAAGTTTCCGTATAAGGATTAGAGTTAAAAATGAATAATTACAGAGCGAAAAACATCCTGCTTGGTAACTGGATTCTATGATTTCTACAGACTTTAGTGGGATTATAAAAAACGCCAGCCCTCGGTGGGGACTCAAACCTCAGCCTCCCGCACGACAGGCTGGGAAACTAAGCACTATACTACCGAGGACTTGTTCGTCTATTATATGCGATTCTGCAGTATTGGTTCACATTATTTACAATGTTTTTTACGACACATTCTATAAGTTGTAAATTTTCATCATACGTAGTGACATGATATCATATCACAATGTAAAATAAGTCAAACTGCTTCTATACACAATCATATTTCTTCTTCTATTACCTCTTTGAGGTTTAACTGGCACATTTTTTGAATGGAATAATAAATTTCACCTTCAATTCAAGAGTTGTTAGCTTAAGTGTAATTGTATTTTGATTTGTGTAACATGAGCCATAATATAATATATGTAGCTAATTAATTCATTAGTTTAGTCCGTAATAGAGAGTAAGTTCAATAAAATAAACTTAAAATATGCATGTCAGGCAGCCCTTGAACATTTTCAATGGGAACCACATTACAAACCTCAGGATGAAGCTAGTAAAAAATACTTATTTTTAGAGAGATCTATACTTTCGTGTTAAACAATCAAATCCTGTATAATTGTGTGATGTAAGTTACTCGCAAAATTTAAAATTCTTACTATTTTTATTAAATAAATATTATTCTACTCAAAAAATATGAATTGATGCAACCTGTAGTATACTTTGTTTAAATTGTAATAATTCAACGACGGCTGCTTATTTTCCTGGCTTTAAAATACACCATAATTAAACCTGTAAATAAATTATAATATAAAAGTATTGCTGAAAATTTCATAACAACTGTATTGATATCCGTATTCTATGAAATTAAAATTAATTTATATGTAAGATGTATCTCTCTTTTAAATTAATATTGTATTCTGCAAAATTCAGTATGGATTCATATATAGTATTCGTTTTACAAGGCATGCCGTATTTAATCTAAAACAATAAATTTTAGAAACTCTTAATATAAAAATGTATACTGGAAGAATATTTCGTTATCTAAGTCCCTTGAGTATTTGAATCACAGCATTTTTACGAGACGTGGCACACATTGACGTATCTCATTCAGCCGATGGTTTTCCCGTCTGCCTTATGGCTGGCAACGAACAGTGGAAAACCTCGGGGACTACTTTGAAGTATGTTAAACAGCTCGTACACGTACGGTACATACCCGCTCAAATAAGTTTATAGAGTATGTACTAGAATATAATAATTAAAAGTTGATTTCAAGCAGCTGTGGTTGTATTTGTTCCTTGCCGGATATTCCTGCCGCCATACCACATGTGGTGTCAACTTTAAAATGTGCTTGTCGTACACTTTCAACTGTACATAATACATGTAATCTATATTAATTATTTACTACTAACCACATGAAGAGGACCTTATTATACGATTATGCACACCGCTGTATGAACCCGGCAGTGCACTTCAGAGCAGAGCGAAAATGTATTGGAATGTTAACGTAGCACAATCCCCCTCCACCGGCGCGGAAGGCGGCCGGTGAGCTTACCAGGAAACAAGGCAACGACAGAGTCAGGCAGAGGGCGCCGACGAGAGTGTTGGGTCTGGAGGAGCTCCACCACGGGCCAGTGACCAGAGGAGGTCGTCGAAATCAAGTCCAGGTAGGAACTATTCAATTAGATAAATTCAGAAAGCGTCTGTTTAATAATAATATAAATATAAATATAATCAAATTAATTAACTTTATTTTGAATGCGCCCCGTTACGATTAACATTGTTGTTGATTAATTAACACTGTAATAAAAGCTCACCTTCTATAATTGTTTAGTAGCTACAACCTTATCCCAAAAGTTGGCGGCCTTAGGCCAGCAGGACTTGGTGAAGTCACCAGTTATAATAAGTATAAATTTAGCAACACTAATTCTGGCTACTCCGACCATTATACTATGATGCATAATCTATCCCGTTTGCATGTGGGAATAGCTCATTTATGAACAACAGTAATACAAATTATTTATCTCCTTTTGTAATAAATAATGTCCTGTTCCTTCATTAAGCTTTACTGCCTACAAGGCGCCATTTTCGTATGACAAAAATACCGTCTTGTAAGTTATTATTGTAAAATTGACTAGTTTGTTAACTATAAGAAAAACTGAATACCAAAATCATAATTATTATTCAGTTTAATTTTTAGGTTGGCAACATGATGAAAAATATGAATGTAGAGAGCGTATCCACTGCAC